AAAGATACTTTCGTTAGTATCCTTAATCTCAAGATTACTAGCATGTATGAGATGTAAGAACTCATTGGCATGTAGGTTATTGAGTGACAGATCATCATCAATATATCTTAAAGTGAAATGAAAAAAAAACAAGATGCTTTTTCTCTTTGTCTTTGAGAAGGTTCTGTATGAATTCTAATGCATTTAAGTAGAAAATAAGTCGGCCAGTAGTGGTGCACAGTTAGTACTATAAGAATACCGACTGTTTGCTGAGATATCAATCCACTCAACAAAAAAAATATGTTGTCGATAGAAGCGTCCATCATTTTGATGTTGTCATCTTCGGTATATTTTTTTTTTTTGAATTAGTGTGGATCTTCACAAAGTAAGATATTTGTCATGACCTTAAACAAGGAACTTGTATCTACGTTGGCCATTTTTGTACACGTAGCTCTGTTTAAGTATTTACGACTTAAAGTTACGTTTAAATTTTATAGATGGTGATACCTAGGCAGGTTGGTATAATCTGGAAACTCTAGTGAAGAAAGGTTACTTATAATGTCACTATGAGTCATAAACATGTCGAAATTGACGTATTTAACATAAAAAATTTAACGTCTCACAGCATTTTCGATAAAATATATATGACCCTATGCCTTAACCAATAAGAGAATCTTAACACATTGAATTGAAATACATATTGCGGCAAAATATATTTTTGAATAAAACATTTGCTCATATCTAAATTTGAAAGACAAGTTCTAAAAGTGGGGATATTTTGGCAGCTTTTGCAGATTTGCATCAAATGCAAGATGTGTAAAGACCTTATACCATTATCCAAGACAAAATTAAAAAATATAAGTATTGACATGTGTCAGACTAATGAACATATGATGGATTTTAATTGGTTAATTTATAAACGTTTGTAGAATTCAATAGGCGAAATTTCACTTTATCATAATTTCTCCTTAATTCGAAATAAAAGTTGGAAGCATATAATGGAATCAGGTGTATAGTCTAACAGCCAATGCATAATCAATGTTTGTGTGAAATTAAAATCTACGGTAAATATTGCCATTTGCAAGGCTTATCTTTTTATTCATTAACGAAAAGGAGATGTAGATATACGTTCATGATACCGCAGCGAAAGACAAAGGTAACCTAAATAGGGACAAGATTTGAATGTCCAGAGTCTATAACAGTAGTGAATATACTTTTGCCTATGAAGAAGTGACATTATTTTCATACGGGAAGAATTATGATAGTCCGTACGTCCGTTTGTCAAAAAGTGGTATGATAACTCAAACTAATTTTCTTAAATAATAACACAAGATTAAGATTGATTGAAAAAGCTCCCTTTTGATATTGTAAACTTTTTGGTTTGTCGTTGCAGAGAAACGGAACTTAAACCGTCAGACAGTATGCATTTTCCAATATTTCACAGTAACTTGGTTTTGCTAATAACAGTTTACTGAAAACCGAACACTGCTTTTAAGACTAATGAAAGAAAGGTCCCTTTCGATTCTTTTATTATTATTTTTTCAGAGTTACGGTGTTTTAACCGTCAGATTTAAGGCAGTTTTCAAGATTTCCTATACAAACTCCAGTTTGCTTATAACAATTTACTGCAATCTGTTTATTACACTATTGTTAGGATTGATTAAAAAGCTACTTTTTGATTTTGAAAAGTAATTTGTCGTTCTAGAATAACGAGCTATAAGCTGTCAGATATAGACAATTAGTCAAAATCACATTAAAGGATGTGCTTTTCAAATTTACATAACATTTGATATTATTCAAACAGTCAATGTCCATTTATTTTCAGTTTTTCGAAAATTCAGGAATAAAACGAGTTTTAGATATCAGAGAAAGTATTCAGGATATAAAACTATAAGTATTCAAGATGCAAAAGAACAGACACCACACGGTCAAATAAAAATGATGAAACAGATCATATAAAGTTAAAGGACTCGAACTCATGTGAAATATTCGTTTTGGGTAAGTTTTCTTTAGATTCTTTTCATCAATTAAAAGTTTCTTGTGAATAAGTACACAATAGTTATACAGAGAATTATATTGAAAAAGGCATAATCAATATACAATTCTATAGTTATCATTATTGCAGCAATCAAACTGTTTGATTTTTTAGTCATTTGTGTAGCTCTTTTTTTTTATAAAATGCTGTATATCAAAGACATTATTAGTGCTAAAAATATTTTTTGGCCTATTTGCAGACATTGAGAACGACACAATAGTCCCTGATATAACAACAGATTTGATGTCATGGAATGAACAAGTATGTAGTATTTCTCATAATTCTAAGATGATTAAAATTCAAAACTAATTCCGTACAGTCATTTATGAAGTTATTGATTGATTGTTGAACGTCAAGTGGCAACTATTTCATGGATATTCAGAATGAGAATATATCATCAATGAATACAATAGGTCGGTCTAGTAATATAGGCCGCCTGGATGAAGGTCGAGGAAATTAGGACTACCACTGAAAAATGAGGGTATATTGGATAGGGACAGAAATTTCGCAATGCAACAGGCCACCGACGGACCCTTCAAACAGTTTTTGCCAGGGTTCCTAATCCACAGAGAGCACTCTCTTTACACGAGGTATCAAATTTTACGTCTCCATTCTGACCGGAAGTGGCTGTTACTTGTATATCCCGCATAGCCAAGTATGGACGCCCCACTTTGGCAAGGGTTTTACTGCCGTTTGGAAGAAGACCAAAGTGACCACATTTCTATTTCCCAGTTATCCTTGCGTGAATTTATGAAATGCAACTACTATCATGAATTTTATCAATAATAACAACAAGCAACATATTCATAGTTAAATAAAATTTATAAGGATGTACGGCGAACAACCCCCTGTATAATCCTTTTACAAATAAATCCGGAAGCGATATTGCAGAAATCATTCTTGAGCGTCAAAAATTAATTTCAAATGCATCTTTAAAACTCATGTGAGTAAGTATAAAACTGTTCATGTACATATTTCATCTGGTCATTCCTTAAGTTGCTGCACTCTTCAGACTATGTATATGACGTTTGAAAAAACAACATAAATCAAAACGTAAGGGCAGAGTACAATATTGGGAATTTTTGTCAGATGTTCGGACTCCTTGGGTTTTTTCCGACGAAACAGGGTAAAATATTTTGCCCCATATCACTCACTTTCCTTTTTGATGAAGACAATAGTCCGTAACAGGTCATTACCAAAATTTAAGCAGGTTGTTGACTTCTTTTCTTACGATTTGAGACCAAAATAAAGCCAGTGCTAAATATAAGATAAAAGTCAGAGGAAGCCTTTTCTCGCCATACTTTTAAAAAGTTCCTCAACCTATCAATGTTTTTAGCTTATTTTGTTCCTTAACATGCTTCCAGATTTTCTTAATTTCATCTGACAACATCCTTTATACCGTATCATCGTTGCAACAAATCTGTCAAGTTCGTAACTGTTTAATAAAAATTGACCTCACAGTACGTTGACAGAAACCATCGTGAATCCCATTCTGTTTAATGTATAAGTGATGACATCAGCTACGTTTTTACTGATTATACTATATTTTTATCAATAATCTCTTTACAAAATATAAATTTGAAAAAGACGTTCTTGTATAGCGCAAGGTTAAACAGTACGACCTTAGTCTTCACTTAGTCTCAAAGCCTTCAAAAGTCAAAAAGTAAATAAAATCAAATTGAATATGTTGAATAATGTTGTGTTTAAAATTGACTATGTCTTCCACACTCTACTGTTTTGTATAGCCAGCGCTAAACACAATATCATTCTACTTATTATATTTACTATGAATTTTTAACTTAATCAATACACAAAATATATAGAAATATACATTTTTCACTATAACGTTCATTTAGTCCAAAGTATTTTACCGATGTTCAAATCTCTTAAATCGATTAAGAATAGACACACCAAGGTCACAAACAAAAACCTGATGGAACAGAATAAACTCCAAAAATAGTGTCTTGCCATGCATGCATCACCTGTCATGAGAATCCAGACTCTACGTTCTTATCATTTGATATTTGAAGAAAATGACATTGACTGTTTGAGAATGACAATTTCTTAGGCCTGTAACGATTTGGTGATTCTTTACCCAGATAATTCACTTTTGAGCTTATCTCATTAGCTAAACTCTCAAGGCTAACTTGTGACAGAATGTAGAATTAAGTTATGATTATTTGTGTAGAAAATTGACTTTTTCATCTCCTAGAGAACTTAGGTGTTTTTGTCTTAAAAGTTTGCTTTGTATATTGTCCAATGATAAATACCACAATATCAGATAAAAGCAAATATTAAAGACCAAAAGTCTCAAAATAACTGCCATATTGCTATGTTTTGAACTGACCATGTTGAAGGGGACACTTTAGTATCATTAATAATGAGTAAGGGCTAACCCCATAGAGTTACAAAAGTATATATATTCTATTTTTGAATATCAGCATGTTAGAAAATAAAACAAATATAAAATGTATAATGAATACATAGAAATAAGTGAGAATAATAGGTTATGCATATAATGTAGCTGAATGTGATTTTTTCAATGCACAATTCAACACTTAACAAGAACACTTGAACAAAACTTCATAATGATAAAAGAAGGTGGAAGAAAGTTGAGGTAGATCTCATACGAAAATAAAACGCACATGTTTGTGAATAAGAAATATTGAGGAAACAAGAAACCAATCAATATTAAACGAAAAGTAATATTTAAAAAGACCATTTGAAACGTCGTGATAGCATGTTCTATATATTTGCGGCATTGACGAAAATTTGAAACTTATCATCATTACTGCATTTATTGTATCAAAAAGAATCCTAAACAGTTTTCTTTTTTTTTAACTTTTGTATTAATTATACTTTAAGATATACATCAATGTTAATCTAAGCCCAGTATGCTAAATGAGGATTTTATTGTAATCTATCTAAATGATACAATCGTGTTATATTTTCATTGCATTAGAGAGTTATTCGTTACAGACATTACATGACCTACTGAATGAAATAAAATACTTCCAACCACCTAAAGGCATTTCTTGTACAGAAGAGGAAGAGATCGACATGGATGTACCATTTGTCAACATCTTACTAGTTGGACCAAGTGAATCGGGCAAATCTAGTTTCGTGAACACTGTCGAATCTGTTTTCCGAGGACGGACAGTTATAAAATCACATGACAGAAGATCTAGATCGGTACGGTTAGCAGCGGCTACTTTTGATTCAATCTTATTAGTGGGATACCAATCCAATTATTGTGAATTTCATGGGTAAAGATGAACAACGAACTTAAATGTTCAACGAAATACAAATTTTCTATTGGCTTGTATGTAGACATGAAATCAAATATCCACAAATATACAATTATTTCTAAATCCACGAAAACTGATATCCATGAAAATAAATGAATCAACAGTATAATAGTAGTGATGAATCTTTTAACTGTATGAAAGACATTGCATGTCTTTGGTTCTTTTTCTAAATTAGTGAGTTATGTAAATGGCATGTTTTTACATTGTTAATTTCTGTAATAGAATAACACTTTGAACAACTCACATTTGTGACATCACCGAATGAGTCTTATCACCGGATTTATACTTGCATGGGCAACACGAATGATGTCAAATGTGGAGCAGGAAGAACTTACTTATCAGGAGTATCCGAGTTTGTCCCAGGCTTTTGTTGGGTACATCTTGTTCAATCTTTAGTTTCCTGTGTAGTGTAAAAAAAACTTGATGTTCGAAGCTTTTGTCCTATTTCACTCTATTTTTTCGTTGCAAGAGCAGTTGTGTACTTACTGTTTTTTTCAACAACGGCGGATATTGATTTGATTTCTTATTGATAATATTCCAAATTTTTTTAAGGAAACATTTTTTCCGTGGAAGTAGTTATGTATGTATAGTTTTGTGTAATTTTTTGTTTTTTGTTCAACTATTGAGAATTTAAGATTGAAAGATTCAATTTTTTATTCGCAACATTTGATTAAAAAAGGGAAACTTAAGCTACATGCAAAATAAAAATTGTTGAATTCGGGAAGTTGTTCTTTTTTTCTGGTTTATATGTATTGTTTGGTTACTGTCTCATTGACGTAACTCTTGTTCATATACTCATTAGAAAACCACAATAGAGAAATTTACCTGAGGTATTGTGTCAAGAGCTAAATTTATTGTTGAGTCAAGTATCAGGCAAGGATCAAGATGTCGAAAATGTATTATAGCTACCCCTCTCCTTATTTATCGATCATTGTTGCCTCTGTCATCTTTCGAAAATGCAGGGTCTACCGCTTAACTCCTATCTATACTATTTTCTCCTTACTAAAGTTTTCCTGTGTTATTTTCTAAATACGCAGAAGTAACGAAGTACCAAAGAGTTTTTATAATTTGAAAATATACTGCTTAATATCTTACGGCCTAATTACACCCACAGTGCACCAAATCAATGGTCTATTTTTCAAAATCTTTTGAAATTATGTTCCTTTAAAGAAACAAGAGTTCTTATTGAAATATATATAGCCAGGCGTCCACGCCTTAGTCAGAGTTGTACGAAATTTCGCATCATTCAATGAAGTTACTGATTAATTATTCTATCTGAAAATGATCGAAGTGCGTTGATAAAGGGGACAATGTAATTAATTAAATGTAAAATTACCATAAAAGAAGTCTTGCAATCTTTTATTTAGGTAAAATGATTTCTGAATTCCAATATGTTATTTTCAATGTGCTTGTGGATGCCACATTTGTCACTTTTGTGATTTTGTCATAACACGAAAACGTAGCATGCCTAGGATGGAAAAGCAAAGTTTCTTTCTTGTCAAAATTCTAGGCTATGGATTCCAAATAATGTTGATTTCGACAACGACCTCAAATTTGCAAATCCGGAGATGAAATGGGTATAGTTAAGCACAGGGGTGAACTCGGGTGCTGTGCTCTACTATTGGCACCCGTCGTGCTGCTAGCGACAAATAAAAATCTGATGATTAGCTGCATTCGGTAATGTCGAAATCATTTACCTGTTTGATTTCTAATTGAACAAAATAAATAAGCTAGAAAAAACCAAAACGATCCATAATTTGGTCTTTGAATTGTCATTTTTGTTAATCAATCAATTAAACATATAACACTTTCATACCTTTGTTTCAAAATGCGACCATGCACCATTTAGTTTAAGTAATTTCAAGTAACATGATTAGCAGATTTGACCAAAAAATGTTATTTTGTTTAAAGATTTTGAAAAATTCAGATAATATAAATTGTATTATATTTATGTAATTTGATGCTTGGAAAAATACGCCTTGCAAAATATGGTTTTGACTTAGTCAATCTAATTTTAATTTCCATTATAATGATATGTTTAACGATGTTATGTTTACCATTTTTGAGAGGTTGTCTTATTACGTTGGTTCGGACAAATATTTAATGTCTAATTAGAAGACAAAGGTGCTTACAACTAATTCAGATACGATCATTAAAAGAGGAAGTTTGTGCAGGGTAGATATTCATATAGCATTCGAATTTGAGAGAAAAAAAAGTGATATTGATTTAACCTTCTCATTTATTTTTACATACTTATGGGGGAAATTACAGACATATGATTCAACAAAGAAAAAGACGATGAAATTAAAAACCCTGTTTTTTTTTTTTGTGCTGTGACAAAACTTTTTTCCATCATCAATTTATACATTTATAATACCTGTTCATTATAAAATGTATTGTTGTTTCAACAGGTTACATTCTACACCTTCAATGTTGGAAGAACGCGAAAGCAGCCAAAGTTCCGAATATGCATATATCGGAGACCACACAATGAAAATGATGTGACTATAATGGAAGCCGACTTACAAAATATTATAAAAGGACACATCAAAAATGATTATGTGGTTAGTATTTCAATTTCAATGCCTTTTAACATTTTTGTTGATTTAGATTGCGAATGATTTATATCTTATAGATGTAAAATTCACTCTATCGTGACTATTTTTATAAAACATAAAATAAATATTAGCGAAACATATCATATCGATTATATTTGACCGATTGTGTACAGTTCCCGATTTAAAAAGTTTGACTGAATAGGGATTCGCATGGCGATTGATGACTGTATAGCACGAGCCGCTTATAATTACCCTGTCGACACAATCGGTCTCGCTTCTTTTACAATTCATGCAATTTCTTCATTTTTATGTTGGTTACCTTGATTTGTATCTTCTTAATCGATTTACGAGATTAGAACATCTATAAATTACTGTCGCCTTAATTTTACAACAAGTTGAACACTGTTGAACGGTTTCACTTACCCTGCGCAATCACTGTAAAGTAAAATACAAAAGGTAAATACAAAAACTAAAACGGACAGACTAGAAAAGGAATATACATTTCCAATTCAATTGCTATAATATACAGGAAATTTTGTTTTAAATCCACCACGAAAGAAGCAAAATGGTATTTAACTTATAGTGACATTGTTGAGCGCTGTATTCTAAACATCGACCAACAACTTGCCTTACACCGGGATTTGTACTCAATAGGCGGTTCACTGGTTTATTGTTAAAACCCTGTGTTAAAAAACGGCACAAAACAAGCAAATTCGAGGTCAGCGTCAATTGTATAAAAAAAATCCTTTTTTTTATTTCATTCCCTTTTTAAACGTTTTGTTTGGCAGCATACATAAAGTCACAACCAACTGTTTGATATAACCAAGCTGGTGAATGTACGGAAGTTTAACTCCAATACAGCAAGTTCTACGATGCTTTCATGGTAACACACAGCTGCTGCTCCCTTAGCTTGATATTGATCAAGCGCGATATTTTGTTTTAATGTTAAGTGCATATGGATTAATGAAAGATGTGTCATAGACATGTGCTATATACACTTTAGTCAATGCCAAAATTTATATAACAATTTCAATTTTTTGTTTATGAAAAAACTGACAATCGAAAAGATTATTTCAGGTTGTATTCAAATCTTAATCTCAAGGTAAATTTAAACATCTTTAAACATTTATTTGAATTCTAATCAAGTGTCAAAGTATTAATTTACGATATACTTAGCGGTTGATGGAATCCTTTATAATTTATGTTTTTTTTTCTAGTTTACAGGGAATACCATTGCTGCAGATAATCAAAATTATGAGAGATATCCAAAGATAAACGACAGAGTGCACTGTGTTGTATTTGTGTTTGATTCTTGTCAGCCCTTAATCATGAATTCATTTCTACAACAGACAGCTACAGTTCTTGAAACTTTGAACGACGCAAGTATGTTTATCCAAAATTGATATCGTATAGTAGTTATTTTGAAACTAGAGAAAACCTCCCTCATACGATTAACAAAAAAACTAAAAATGTCAAGACAAGAAATATGTCATAAACCGGTCAAAACTTCATAAACCGATCAACTCAGGTGGACAATAATTGCAATAATGAAAGAGTAAAAGATTTTCCAGTCAGTAGGGATGACGACACAACATAACACTTTTATCATGATTTAAATCGTTCTGCCTCATAACTTCAATGGATAATGGTCAATTTTCCCTTAATTTATTTCACACCAGAGCAGTTTTCAAAACGTCTTTCAATCTGTACTAAAATTCACAGTATCTCAGCCAAATGTGTGTATTTAAAGGTTCTAACAATAGTTTGGCTTATGTATAAACAGGTTATTAAATTGTAAACGCCAGAGGAATGGCCAAAACCGCAATTTTGAGAGATTTTGACAAACTTTAAGTGTTTATCTCAAAACGTTTTTTTTTTTTTTTAAGTAAGCTATGTTTTTTCTTTCGTATTCAAAATAGTTTATCAAAAGTTTACAAAAGCATGTTGCAGTTTAGTGTCAAAGTATCAATATGAAGTCCTGAATATAAATTTTTGATTTTATGCAAATATGTAAAATTGCGAATAGAATTTTTAGAATATGATTAAGACTTTTTTATAAATTTTTGCCGTATAATGTTGATTTTTTTTAAATTTTAAGGCATTATTTGATCATGGAACAAGTTTATAACTAACAATTTTAGATTTCACAGCCAACAAACCGGTTACTGTGATTTTGTTTGGAATTGCAAATACAACTAACCACCGAAAAAAAATAGTATCTACGAAACTAACTGCCTTTTCTTTAATAGATATTCCTCAACTGATACTTATGACAAAAACTGACAAATTATCAAAATTGATACAGAACGATTTGTCAACGACATTTCACAGTAAATATATACAGAATAAGATACAGCAATTTTCAGGATGGTTAGGACTACCAGCATACAGCGTTCTGCCTAGAACATTAATATTGAGCACATAGCCAGTACCAGCTTGAAGATTCTTACATTATATAATTTGAGGCATATTCTGATGTCCACGGCTGATTTCCTATCGGACAATCAGGAAGAACTCCAACAGGACACATATGAGCGAAAACATGACGTTTCAATTGACTTACAGTTTCCTTAGGAACTAAGTTCGAAACAGTGTAAATATCATTCTCAATTATTCCGTGTTTATAGGTTGCACTTTGTAAATACAGCTGTTTCATAAACCACGCCTGTTTTGGGGAGATATATTAAAAAAAATGCCAACCCCTGGGTCATAAAACAGATAATTTAATCAGTAAATGCTATGATTTTATTATTATAAAGGTCTTTTGTATAGAAAACAATAACTGTGCTTGGAAGTTATGCCAAAAACTGATGTTAGCAGTCAGTTCTATAAAACTTTTAGTGAATTCATACAGCAGACTGGTAACTTCATACATACAACTTTTGCAAATAAGGCTTTGTTTAAACACTTCTAGTTCATATATTAGCTAAATCATGTTAGATATATAGTTAGAGATGATATTGTTGTGACAAGATTTCTAAACTGACCAATTGAGGCAGAAATTGTGAACTTTTATTAATAAATAGGCATACAGTAAGATGTGGACTGGAGACAGAGGCAGGATTGGATAATTTATATAATCTTGAATGTTGGAATGATTAACTACTAAACTTTACATTTATAGTATTCTGAAATGCTTTCAATTTGTTAACAGAATAGTTTCAAACAGGTTCTAGACATTACGTCAGAAAACATGCACACAGGATAACCTGACAATAATTAAAGTCTTGTTTTCAAATTCTTTAAAAAATGAAACAGGGGTGGGGGTTTAAAATGTACTGTAAAATAAAAGTTAGAGTATATGCAGTGATTTCTTTAAGGCTATGATTCTGGTAAATAAGTATTGTTGTGAGAAAAAATATTTTTCAAGAGTTTTCTATTTGAATAAATGTTAGTATAGGTTGCACTTTGTAAATACATCTGTTTCACAAAACATGCCTCTTTTGGGGTGATGTATAATATTCATAGATATTTTGTTTTGTTTACGTACTGGTTCCCAGATATGATCTCTATTTTTCATTTCACAGAGACATAACTTGGAAATGTTACCAGTATAATTACACATGGTAGCGGCGAAAATTGAATGTTGAGGAAGATTCAAAGTGAAGGGAGGGGTAGTACAGAATTTTAGTATAAGTTTAAACTCTTAGAAGTTCGGGGCATATAAATGTTGAAAATATGCCACACAGCCCTATGTTTTGACCTTTGAATGAAATAGTAGTGCATATCAACTTTCCGTGCTAGGATATAATTTTTTTTACGAAACTTCATAGTAAAAGTGGCACAGTTTTACCCGTAAAGGGAGTTTCTATGGGAAATTGCATTGCCTATATTTACAGAAGTGCAACCTATACTTACTTTATGGATTTTTTGTTTTAGTTGTTGTGGTGTTTTAGTCCGTATTCAGAGACAAAGAAGCTGTGAACTGTCTATCATTGCATCACGATAAATATGCTGTTGTTCCTGCGGACAAAGCTTCAAATAATATTTTTTTTATGTTAATCGTACTACTACGAGTCTCTTGTAAAAGAATTAGGAATAAATGAGCACTCAGGTAATCCAACATTCAAAAACATATCATATGACAAGGATGAAATTTTGGCGAATCATAAGTCATTTATGGCTTCATTGAACATAACATTTAACAGCAAATCTGAGGACTTACCTTGTTTGTATTAGATACCTAAGCTTCACAAAATTCCGCACAAACAACGTTGCATTGCCGGCTCATCTGCATGTTCTACAAAGGAATTGTCGTTTAGACTGACAAAAATTCTGTCCGCAGTGAAAGAAGGTCTTCAAAAAATACAGTGAAATTGTTTTCTCGCGTAGTGGTATAAACCATATGTGGATTCTAAAACAAAACTCTAAAGAACTTCTGGATAATTTTAAATCTCGATCTTTCTTTGAAATTAATTCTATCAAAACCTTTGATTTTTCAACACTTTACACCATCATTCCCCATATGAAATTGAAAAATCGTCTATAAGAAATAATCCACAATGCTTTTCAATATAAAAATGGTAGCATACGCTTTAAATTAATTCCTTTGGGATACCATACGACATATTTGGTAATAGTGAACAAAAAGTTAAAAAATGCTACACCAAGGAACAAGTGATCAGTATGTTGGAGTTTCTTATTGACAACATATTTGTTGAATTTGGAGGTAGGCTTTTTCAACAAATTGTCGGCATTCCTATGGGAACGAACTGTGCGCCTGTCCTTGCCGACCTCTTCTTATTTTCATATGAGTCGAAGTTCCTACAGACAATTGTCAACAACAAGAAGATGAAAGAAACCAGATCATTTAATTTAACATTCAGATCATCTCAGTTCTAGAATCTGTGACAAACGAGACGTTTTTAATTTTGAAATTATAAATTTCCCCCACCTAAGCAGCAATATATCAACTTCACCTGCATATGGGATATACATTTCCAAACTCATTCGGTATTCAAGAGCTTGCATCTGCTACTCAGACTTTATAAAATGTTACCAGTGCCTGAGCAGAATGTTGATGAACCAGGGTTATGTCAAAGAACGACTCGTACTTTTTTTAAAAAGTTCATCGGAAGATACCAAAAACTTGTTGATAAATATTCCATATCAACTTCACAAATAATACACGATGGCCTTGAAGTATAGATTCTAGGTACTGACGTTGTTTATCATCTTAATAACGTGTTATAATATTCTTTTATTTGTCTTTGTACATTATTACTTTTACTGTTTGGTCTATTTTTCTTAGTGGCCATTTGACGTGGCTCGGTACTTGTACATCCCGTCATTGTGTTATTGTGCTATGGTAAATTTTTGTATTCTTGGCTTTCGTTTTTGCTAATGTGCTTTGACTATATGCCTTCTTGTTTTTCTTTGTTGACATATTTGTTTGTTTTTATAGTGATTGGGATTATAACACAATGTTGACTGCTGTACCCCTATTTTTGACATTTTTACCTTTTATGTCTGTTTGTTTATCCATTCTTTGATATGTTTGAGCTTTTGATTTTGCCATTTGCTTAGGGACTTTCCGTTTAGAATTTTCCTCGGAGATCGGTATTGTTGTTATTTTAATTTATACAACACACTTTTGATCCGTGTGTGAATTTTTTGGTGAGTATTTGCATAGAAGCTATTTTTCACTTACTCAATTCAAATATATATATAAAAAAGTGCTTCATGTGTTACTTTTAGAGATACAGGGGGTTGAAGTTTTAGTCATTAACTGAAAACTGTGTTTTTTTTTTAACATTTCTTTTCTCTGGAAAGACATCCCTGATAGTCGAGTGACACCAGTCATTTTTAATGCACCCGCCTTTAAGACGGCTAAATGATATACCATTCAAAAGCTGAATATCATTTGTGAGTTCTTTTTTGCTCTGGGCAATTTCTGTTAAACCACGATGAAAGGTCAAGGACGGACAATTTCTTATTTCACAAGACGTCATCATTTTTTGCATATTCTGTCTTCTAAATAAAATAAAATTATATGTGGAAATAATAATCAACTTCACAAATAATACATGATGGTCTTGACGTATAGGTTCTAGGTACTAACGTTGTTTATCAACTAAATTGCTTGTTATAGTATGCTTTTTATTTGTTTTTGTATATTTTTAACCCTACTGTTTAGTCCATTTTGGGCAATATCCTTTTGGCGTGGCTCTGTATTTATACATCCCACCATGTTATTGAACTATGGTCATTTTTTGTATTCTTGTCTTTCATTTTTTGCTAATGTGCTTGGTCTACAGAGTGTCTATATGCCATTTTGTTTTTCTTTGTTGACATAGTAGTTTTTGTTTATAGTGATTTAGAATATAACACAATGTTGACTGCTGTACCCCAATTTTTGACATTTTTACCTATTATGT